CCATAACTACTTAGCCTGCGCTCTGGAGCCCACGTGCCACAACTACTGAAACCCGTGTGCCTAGAGCCCCGTGCTCTGCAACAAGAGAAGCCACCGCAATGAGAAGCCCGCGCACCACAACAAGAGTAGCCCCCCCCCCCCCGCTCGCGGCAACCAGAGGAAGACGGCGCCCAGCAACGAAGACCCAACTCAGCCAAAAATAGAGAAACAAATACAATTTAACTTTTTCCTAAGCAAGCAAGAGATCAGGATGCTATTTATAGAGAAAGGGAGGGGGGAGGTGGAAGGGGGAAGAGTAAATTCACCTGGGTTCACAGCAGGAGCTCAGCACAGGACAGCCTGAATTTGTGCAGAAGACCTGCAACTAGAGATGCTGGGGTGGAGCACAGTAGAGGATGCATACTCCATTCTGCGGTCCCGAGCCCATGCAGTGCAAGCGTGCACTTGGATGCACTAAGCCTTGGGCTGTAGTCCACACTTCCACTATGATGTGGATTCATTACCAAGAATCTGGAGTGCTTGAACTTTCTCAAGGGGTGCAGTAAGTTTCCTGCAGAACTTATCTGACCCAGAATCCTTTGCAAATGCAGCTCCAAGATCACGCTCCCAGCACTCCAGGGTGCACAGCGGGCTCTGCAGAAGCTCAGAGCAAGGAGCAACCTAGTTAGTCATTTCAGCTTAATTACTAGCCCGTGGCATGGGCAGGCTGCCAAATATGAAAGGCTGGACTCTGCAACGGTCTCCAAACATTTCCGCGAGGGTTCCTGTGGTTACTGTGAGCTCATGCCCCCTCCCCTCCCCTCCCCCCAAAAAGAGCTTGCATAACCCAGTACAGCCCCTTCCTCAGGGCAGACACTCTGCTCGCGTGGGCAGTAGTGAGCTGAACTGTAAACCAGAGCCCCGATTCCGCAGATGCCCATGCCCCCACCAGCACCCTGCTTATCCAGGGTGCCCCCATTTTGGGCCCACGCCCCAGCCGCTGCCACACTTAAGCAAGTGCCACCCCCGGCGACTGGCGGTAAAAAAAAAGCCAATATCAATCGTCCAAAGCAGAGTGAGTAAGCGGCGAACCCAGCCGAGACCGTTGTAACCCGTACCAGGCATCAGAAAGAGCGCCAGCCTCAGCCTCTGTTCGCACCTAGCAGAGCTCATGGAGGCACAGGGCTTCCATGGCGCGCCAGCCATGGAGCCTCCGCCCCGGGGCCACCACTATGACCCCGGGTAGTACATCCTGGGAGGGTACGAAGTGGAAATAAGATCTGAATCTGTGCAGGGTCCAGCGCCAGAAGCCAGAGAACTCTATGTGGAGGAAGGAGGTCCGGGCCTTGCGGACGGCATGAACCATGTGGGCGACATGAGCCAAGAAGGCGACGGGAACCACGAGGGCGGCGATGGCGGCCAGGAGCCCGGGAAGCAGCCACCTGAGGAGCCAGGCCATGTGGCGACGGCTGCTCAGGCCCAGCAGCCCAGAAACCGGCCTTGACGTTGCGTCCTGTGCAATAAGTTCACACCGTTGCAGCTGCAGGAACTGGAGGGCCTCTTCCAGAACACTCGGTGCCCAGACGTACTCACCAGGTATGTGGCGGGCTCCGGGTGGTTCGGGCTCATTTCCAGGCACCTTCGTCCCTCTGCTGGGCCTCCTCCTTCCCCTCCGAAGCCATAAAAGCCACCTGTGCCCCAGGATGGGGGGAGGAGAATGCCTTCTGCACATTAAAGGGAATATTTTCATACAATAGTTACGTGGATCAAGTCTGGAAACTGGTTTGTGGTCGTTTGGTGGTGTTTTTTGTAAATTGTGGTAAAATGTACGTAAACGTAAGATTTACTATTTTAACACTTTAAAGTGTTCCGTTCAGTACTGTTAAGGATATTAATGTTGTCAGGCAAGCAATCTCCAGAATTTTTTTGTCTTGCAAAACTAAAACTCTGTACGGGGAAGACAAGTCACTATGCACCCCACCCCAAGCCCCTGGGAACCACCTTTCTATTTTCTCTTTTTATGAATTTGACTACTGTGGGCGCATCATATTAGTGGAGTTGTACAGTGTTTGTCTTTTTGTAACTGGCTTATTTCGCTTAGTATAATGTCCTCAGTATCCATCCATGTTGTAGCATGTGTCAGAATTTCCTTCCTTTTTAGGGCTGAATAATATTCCATTATATGTAAATACTGCCATTTGTTTATCTGTTCCTTTATTAATGAGCACTTGGGTTGCTTCTACCTTTTGGCTATTGTGAATAATGCTGCAGTGAGCATGTGTGCGCAAATAACTCATTTACCCCCCAAAATGAGCCCTGTTACACCGGCCTGGTTTAAACTATCTATGCATGCAGCAGAAAGACTGCAAGTCCTAAGATGGGAGAATGAAAATGAGGTCTCAGGCAGGGAGAGAAGGCCTTTTGTGTCACTTAAAATTTACAGTTTGGAAACTTTCAACAGGATTTAAATACAGTGTTAAACCCCATTAACTAGGATATTGAGAAGACAGTGAAGTCTAATCCACAGTTTTGTTTGCAAAAATAGTAGGCAGATATTTAGGGAGGAGCTATTTTATGACCTTTACCCTCATTGTTGTTGACTGTCTTACTAAAATGCCTGTTGCACCTTCTTGTCTTAAGAATAAGGGATGGGATTGGGACCTCCTGGTTGAATAGCAGCACCTAGGATAACCTGCCATGGCGGACAACAGCGGCTCCGGTCCAGGATCCTGGAACCGTAGCCAGAGCAGAGTGAGCTGACCTGGTCCTGAGCCCAGGAAGGTTTGGAGGGTGGGGCAGGTTGGAGCGTGCAGAATTGACAGTGGTGACAATGGTATGCCTCTTTCCCCTAAACTCTTGGGTGGCCTAAGATTTTTGACAGTCTTTGTTAACTTGGGTCGAGATGATCTCAACTTTCCTTAACACTACAGGCTAAAATATCAACGCAGTGTCCAGAGCTTCAGCAACTCTCACGTCCCAGTAAGACAAGTCACAACCCCCCTGGGCCCCCTTGCCAGACCACCATTCTAACTCTCAAGACATTTCAAAGGATTAATGACCCCTTGGACATCCTTGAAGGAGACCTTCTGTCTAAAAATCCAACATGTTCCAGGACTTCCCTGGTGGCCCAGTGGGTGGGACTCTGTGCTCCCAATGCAGGGGGCCCCGGTTCGATCCCTGGTGGGGGAACTAGATCCCACCTGCTGCAACTAGGAGCCCGCATACCGCAATGAAGATTCTGTGTGCCCCAACTGAGACCCAGCACAGCCAAAAAAAAAAAAAAAAAACATGTTCCTTCCTATTAATTATTTACTTCACACTGAATGTAGGCGTTTCAAATAGGGAGCCGTTCCCCTCAATATGACTGTACGTGGGGCCCACTATTTACCATGCCCAAATCCACCCCCACAACAAGGTGAGGAGGGGGCAGGAGGCGGCCAGATGGCTGATGATCAGCTGCCAGGGTACAGACTATTTTTATCCTGTTACCAGACATTGTATCAACAGCAAGGACCTGGTACAACAATTCATAAGCTAAACCTGCATCCAATACCTGGAAAAAAATTAGAATATTAAACTTGAGAGGAGAGGGACTTCCCCGGCGGTCCAGTGGTTGACTCTGAGCTTCCACTGCAAGGGGAACAGGTTCGATCCCTGGTTGGGGAGCTGAGATCCCACATGCCGCGTGGCACGGCCAAAAAATAAGAAAAACAATTAAAAATTAAAATTGCGAGGAGACAAAATAATAAGCCTAAGCCAGAACTTGGCACACAGACGGGGGAGCTCACGAAGGGTAAGTGGAAGGGAGGGAGTGTGGTGGTAACTTTCCTGAGGTATTTTAGCAAGAAGGAAATATTTCTCCTGATGCAGCTTAAGATCTCAATGGCATATAAAGTTGCGTGCTATGCTGTTTGTATTATGACATTAACTGTTCAATATACTAAACCAATCCTTTTCCCGCTCTGATTGTAGGTCTGGTTTAAGAATAGGAGGGCCAAGTGCAGGAGAAATGAGAGAGCATCAATGCTTCGAGATGCACCACCTGTTTCCCTGGACCACCTTGCCGTCATAATGTTGGATGGGCCCTAAAATACCATCCTCGTTCAGGAGCCAGATTGGAGATGGGTTCTTCTGATACCACTGACACCTGGGCTGCCCGTGCTGCCCATGCCAGCCGTACCTCCTCTGTACTTGTATTATCAATGAAGAGGCAAATCCTCCATATGTTTGTCTTTGTGTGTCAAATGCGGCAAGCGGGGTATGTATGAAAATTGTTAAGGAAATGCCATTTAAACAGAATGGCAAGGAGGCCTCCTTTCATGAGGTGACACCCCTGAATCACTATCAGTAGGTCCTGTACCTCACAGAAGTTTCCCAAGTGCCCACTGGTGAGTTTGCACTGACCCATATATTCTCCTCCGTCTCTCCCCCATCACTCCATCCCTAACCCCACCCTGCCCCTTTGGGACCACGTGCATATGCACGATTGGGCGGGGTGAGTCCCTAGTGTGAGAACAGTGTGTTTCCAGACAGGGATGAGCTCCGTTCATGCTGACAAGTTCAGGCTGAACACTGGACCCTCAGGGAATCTTCCTTAAGAGGCTGCTCACAAAGATTCATGGGAAGGTGGCAGCAGAGCATCCATCCAGTATGCTCCAAATTCTGTTCCCTTCTCACTTTTCTCCCCTCCCCGCACCAGCCCAGGAAAGCATGTTCATCGCTCCTTCCCCAGCTGAGAAGCTGACTATCACCCCTTCAGATGTATTTTGTCACCTTCAACATCCTTGAGAGAACCCCAATTTCTGCTGTTAAACACTGAAAGGGAAACTTTTGGTTTAATGGTGCTCAAAGCAAGAATAAGGAGATGTTCTCCCAAGCAGTGCTCCCGAATAATCCCTCGCTGCAAAGAAGCAGTCACACTTTTGCTTTATTCATGTTGTCTTCTTTGTGTGAAACGACCAGGGTAGGGAAAAAAAGAAGTTTAGGAGAGTGAAAAGCCAGGCCCACTTTTTTAAAAGCACTATGTTCTTCTCAGTTGAACCTTTGGTGTTGAGTAATCTTTAGCAATGTGAGGCTCCTCAAGTGGGGTTTGATGTTAAAAGCGATTAAATATTTCAATGACTACAGATAAGGTGCCTTGGTTACATCGGATTTTCCTCTCAGAGGAGTTAATCAAAGACCAGTCTCACAGCACTTCTATGTTCCCAGTGTGAAGGAGGCTCTGTTTTCTCAGGAAAGCTTACACTCTTTGCCATGGTGTCCACTAATTTTTATTCCTTCTCCCCACCTTTCTCACTTGTGGGTGTCAAATGTCAGCCAAGCGGTTGTAATGTCAGGCTTCCACAGAGAGAAGGATGTTACTGCTACACAGAGACGCCAGACCTTATGGGGAGTGGGAGAAATTCGAGGATGTTCCCGTGTATGCCCACTGTCATTCTTACCAGATGATTCTGAAACCAAAAATTCTTATTTCCTAATGTTGACCACTATCCGCTTATATTTTATTTTATTTATTTTTTTGCGGTGCACAGGCTCCAGGCGCGCAGTGGCCATGGCTCACGGGCCCAGCCACTCCGCGGCATGTGGGATCTTCCCGGACCGGGGCACGAACCTGTGTCCCCTGCAGGCATCGGCAGGCGGACTCTCAACCACTGCGCCACCAGGGAAGCCCCACTATCCTTTTTTAAACATTAGGTTTCTCGGTGCTTTAAGGACCCTCAGAACTACAGGGCCTGTACAAATAAGCTCCAGGACACCATCAGACCCAGTCCTGACCCCTTCTCTGTTTTGGCCACAGCGGAAAGGACCACATTCAACCTTTCCAACCTGAGACTGAAAGTCAGAGAATGCTCAGCACAAATCCCCCAGTTAACCCTCACATCCAGTCTGGCACACTCTAGCAACATTCTTTTTTCATGCTCAGGCTGCCTGGGAGAAACAAACAAACAAACAAGTGAGTATCTTTCCTGTAAGTGGCTGGTGTCTTCATCATATACACTCTTTTTTTTAAACATGTCTCTACTTCTTTCAGATGCCAGGTACATTAAGGCAGAGTGGTGGCATGAGGCATAAGAAATAAGCAAAACATTGCTGTAGATGATAATTTACCCTTAGTCTAGGTTTGCAAAGAGATAGATAGGTCTTCTAAAATTAATCCCCCAAATTAATTAGTGCCCCAAAGAGAATTTCTCTCAATGTACATTTCAAATATCCCAGACATAGATCAGAAATTAATTATTCTGACATAATGAAATAACTTTGATTTATAAAAAACTGACAGAAGACAGATTAACAGGAGAAAAAATAAACAAATTTAATTCGTATGTACAGAGGTGTCATGCAAATAGGACCCAAGAAGCAACCAAGGCAGGCAGCTTTTACCTTTTTAGACAAAGAAAGAATAAATCTGTGAGGAATTGACAGGACAAAGAAACTTAGGCTTGAATGCTTAATTGGGGAAGAATATAAGCAGAGTTTGGGTTTGGGGGTAGTAAACTAGCAAAGAAGTAACAGCGTTTGTTTGTACAGGCTTCTCAGCCCTGAATTCCCTGTCTCTGGTGATAAAGATGTCTCTCTCCTGGTACACAGAGAGTAAATTTTGCATGGGAGAATTATTTCCTGCTTTCAAGGAGGACAGAGAAGAGGAGGGTCAAAGTGTTCTCACATCAGCTGTTTCTCAAGTGACTTTAATTCAAAATCATCAATATGCCACTGTGGCATGTTTTGGGGTGGCCTGCTCTGAGCCCCAGCAATAGAAATCACATTATTACTTTAAATGTCTTATCTGATCACTCTGTAAACCAAGTTTAATAATTGGTCTCTCTGTGTTTTCTGAAAGTAATGAAGGTTCCTGCCAAGATACAAAACAACAGATGGTACAAAATAAGCTCAGACTGATAAAACAACAGGTACGTGAGTTACCACAACTGAATTCACCAATAAGATCTGCCTGGTCATCTTCTCAGTGCGACGGTAAAAAAAGAACAATTTGGTATTTAATCCTGAACCAAGATTTGTGGAAATCCCAAAAGAAATCATTTGGCTCTTCCAAGAACATGAGCCTCCAGAGGCGAGGGACTATATTACAGCCAACACCACGAGACAAAAATATACCAAAGAAACACTTAACGATGAAAGACAATACGAACACAGCTTTGGATTTATTCTATAAAGAATTTTCCTTCTCTTTTGCCTTTTACCAAAACACACCAAAATGTGAAAATTGTAAGAGTTCCTGGCCTGACTGACACTCTGATTACGGGCTGTGAGACCCTGAGCAGAGGATCCAGTTGAGCCATGCCCAAACTCCTGACACAAGGAAACTACGGTATAATACATTTGTGTTGGTCTAAGCAGCTAAGTTTGTGGTACAGCAATAGAAAACTAACACATAGGTTGCAGTGGGCTGAGTCAAAGTCCAGATATATGGATGTAAAAGGCCTAAGTTGCCCTATCATTACCTAGATCAAACAAGTTTCATCTCCTCTTCCTATGCCAACAAGTGATGACTTTCTGGATTGCAATGTGGTAGATGGAATAGCTGACCAGAGATGTTCATGCCCGAATCCCTGTATCCTGCGAATACGTTATCTTATATGCCATCTGCAAAGAGGGACTTTGCACATATAATTAAGGTTATGAACCTTAACATAGGGAAATTATCCTGGATTAGCTGGATGGGGCTAATCTAACTACACGAGTTCTTCAAAGTCAAGAACTTTCTCTGGCTGGAGGCAAGAGAGGTGTAGCAGATAGAGCAGTTGGAGAGTCAAAATGTAAGAGGAACTTGGCCAGCTCTTGTTGAAGGAAGGCCACATGAAAAGCATGAGAAGGGGGACTTCCCTGGTGGCACAGTGGTTAAGACGCTGTGCTCCCAATGCAGGGGGCCCAGGTTCGATCCCTGGTCAGGGAACTAGATCCCACATGCATGATGCAACTAAAGAGTTCGCATGCCACAACTAAGACCCAGTGCAACCAAATAAGTAAATAAATATTAAAAAAAAAAAAGGAAAGAAAAGCATGAGAAGGAATGAGGGCAGTGTCTAGTAGCAAAAACTGACTCCCAATTGACAGACAACAAGGAAACAAGGTCCTCAGTCCCACACCACAAGGAACTGAATCTGGCTAACAATCTGAATGACCTTGGGAGTAAATTTATCCCCAAAGCCTCCAGGAAGGAACGCAGCTGACACCTTGATTTCAGCCTTGTGACACCCAACAGAGGATCTAGCTGAGCTACATTTTACCTGGGCTGCCAACCCACACAGAACTGGGAGAGAATAAATTTGTGTTACTTTAAGTGACTACGTTTGTGGTAATTTGCTATGGCAGCAATAGCAAATTAATACACAGTGTTCAGGAAGATTCTGAGGCTATATCTGGGTACTGTGGGGAAGTGCTCAATGACTGATCAAAGATATGCACCAGGGAAACAAGAGAGAGGTGACTTATACGGTCTCCATCTGTGACCCATGATCTCCATGCTCTGCTCAGGGGTAGAAGTCACCTAGCTATTCCTTCTGCCTGCAACGCCTTCCCCCCAGATATCTGCAACGGCTTGCTCTCTCGCCCTCTTCAGGACTTTCCTCAAAAACAATTCACCAGGGGGCCTTTTCTGCCCACCCCAACTAAAATTTCATCCCCTACCCCCTTCCTGGAAACCTTTTACACCATGTCCCTGCTCCATTTCTTCTCTTTAGCTCTCCTCACTTCATAATGTCCTTATTTATTTTGCGTATTCCCTGCCTGTATCCCCACCAGCAGAATGAAACTCCATGCAGACAGAGGTTTTTGTGTCTTTTGTACACTGTTGTATCCCCAGAGCCTAGAAGAGTGCCTGGCATATGAATCTCTGTTGAAATAAAATTACCATTAAAATGAAGAGGCTTTTATCCTGGTTTGTCAAGTTCACACATCCCGACATCTTATAAGGAGAGAATCTCCATGTAATTACAGCTGGCACACATTCCCATGGTGGAGCCTGGTCTCCTATCACAGCCGGGAGCAAGTCACCACACCCCTCATCAGGTCCAAGGAGGACGGAAGGAGAAAATGGTCATAAGTTGCAGATGACTCTTCCTACACTAGTTCTTTAAACTAGGAGGAAGCTGAACAAATAACAGGGTTGGATGTCAAGTCATTTCAAACACACAGGAACAACAACGCCCCGGCACAACTTTCACCTGTATTTCAAAAATTGTTGTATGTTGTCATATTTGCTTGCTCTGTCTGTCTCCTGAACCTTGCAAAAATAGTTACAGTTGTCATGACATTTATAACTCTAAAAAATTCCACTATACATCTCCTTAAAAAAGGAGATGTTCCTACATAACCACAATGCTATTACATCTTAATAAAATTAACAATAATGTAATAATATTAGCATATGTCTAGTCCATATTCCAACTTCCGCAATTGTCCCAAATGTATTTTATAGCTATTTTTAGAATAGGTATCTGTTTCATGCATTGCATTTGTTTTGCATTTAGATGCAAAGAAGCTAGTGTTGAATGATTTTACAACTTCCTGGATTCATCAGTTTTCTTAGTCACCTCTACTTAACTCTAGTAAAGTAGTTGTCTAGGTATTACTACTTATCTCTAGTACTAATATTTCATTCCAACAAGAAATATGAATTTAGGGTTGAGAGGATGGTGTCTTTCAGCTTGGGGACTTTAACTTACGTTATACAAATGAGCCAAAAATGGCCTCGGTCTATTGGCCGCTAGGTGTTTATTTTTTCACTGGAGGCTGAGACCCATTACCTCAAAAGCCTGCTGGAGCCAAACAAATTTTTACACATCCAATTGTTTAAAACATATCCAAATTAACCATATTTTTATCCATTTAGAGCCTGGCTGTTTTACCTTCCCCATGAAATTGTGCCTAACATCTGCTAGCTATCAGTAAGATGAGCCCTGGGCCAATAAGACCACAGGCCACTGCTGCCCTTTGGTGCTCTCTGACCCAGATACTCTCTACGGTGCTGCAAAACAACATCTACAAGTCATCTTTCTGGTTTAGTCTAGGTAGCTCTAGTTAACAGATTACCTAGATTCCACTGGATATCTGTACACCCAACAAGGAATAGAACAAGGAATAAGAATTTAGACAGAAGATTGTGCTCTTCACCTTACTGGTTTGGACTGGTTATTCTAGTTATCACTAGTTATCTATAGCTAACAAATCATCTAGGTCCCCTTACATATCTATGGTACTGTAGATGAAAACTGTCGCCTGCCATATCAGTCAACAAGGGATGTTGCAGCCACCAAGCCAGCAGCCACTACAGCCCCCCACAACGGTGCACCCTGAGGGGATTCAGGATGGAGAAAAGCAGGAAATACTGGCCCTAGATCGCTAAGGCGCCTATCAAAGGAATGACTTCAAGGAGCCCAGACTTTTACATCTTCCCATACAGAGAGAAGCGCGTCTCCATAACTTGCGATGTATGGTTTCTTTAATTAACAGTAATCTTTTGATGTTCTGACTACCTGGTTTTTGTTGCAAAAACCCCTGTATATCCTGGCTCCTCCCTTACCTCTTTGGAGTCAGTCCCTCAGAGCAGTCTGAGAAGCTGTCTTCTGGGCTGAAGTCCTCAGTTTTGTCTACCAAATAAAACGTAATTCTCAACTTTTAGGTTGTGCATTTTTTTCAGTCGACAGTACTAACTCATTATTCCAAAAGAAAATAAGAATTTACATTTTAGCAGAATGTATTTTTCAGCTTTCTGACATCAATGAGTATTAGTAGTTATCTCTAGATATCTCCTGTAAACTAGTTATCTATGTACCACTATTTATCTCAGACTTAGGAGTTCTTTCAACACGAAACATAAAGTTAGATTGAGAAGGATATGTTTTCCAATTCAGGGCTTCAACTCCATATACTAATACTGTTTAGGTAATTAGTAACCTAAGTTCTATTATTTAGCTATATTATTAACTCATTAATCTACCAGGAGAAAAAGAATTTAGGGTCCAGAAGAACGTACATTTAAGCTCCTGACTTCAACTACTTATTCTAGATAGCTCTAAGTAACTAGACACCTAGTGCCAATGTCTATAGTACGAAATCATTACTGCAACAAAAATTAAGACTAATCTTATTCTACTGCAATAAAATACACATAAATAAAACTTACCATCTTAACCAGTTTTAAGGGTACAGTTCAGGGGCATGAAGTACATTCACATTGTTGTGCAGCCATCACCACCATCCATCTCCAGAATTTTTTCACCTTCCCAAACTCCATACAAAAGCTCCCAAATACCACTTCTCCCAGCCTTTGGGGACTATTGTTCTACTTTCTGTCTCTATAAATTTGACTACTCTGGGTATCTCATATAAATGGAATCATACAATATTTGTCCTTTTGTGTCCGGCTTATTTCGTTTAGCTTAACGTCTTCAAGCTTCATCCATGTTGTAGCATGTGTCAGAATTTCATTCCTTTTTAAGGCTGAAGAATATTCTATTGTATGTATACATCACATTTTGTTTGCCCATTCATCTGTCGATGGACATTTGGGTTGTTTCCATCTTTTGGCTATTGTGATTAATGCTGCTATGAATGTGTATTCAAGTCCTTGCTTTCAGTTCTTAGGGAACCGCTGTGGAATTGCTGGATCATGTGGTAATTCTATGTTTAATTTTTTTGAGGAACCACTATACCTTTTCTCATAGTGGCTGCACCATTTATATTCCAACCAGTAATACACAGGGTTTCAACTTCTCCACATCTTCACCAACACTTATTTTCTGTTTTGTTGGTAACAGCTATCCTACTGGGTGTGAAGTGGTATCGCATTGTGGTTTTGATAAGCACTAACAGTTAAGAAGAATGTTTTTAGCTTTCTGGCTTCAAATTTTTATTCTGTTTTTATATGATTATCTCTATTTAAATCTTACCTAAGCAACTGTCATTTTCTACATTACTAACTGAATATTCAAAACATAAGAATTGAGCAGAGTGCTTTCTAGCATCCTAGATTCAAACTGTTCTAGATATCTGGTATATTACTTACCTGGTTACTAATAGTTATCTTATTACTGATGCAGCATTTCAATGAGAAATGAGAAGTTTGGGTTGAGAAGATTGTGTTTTCCACATTCTGGCTACAAGTACTTATCTGTAGTTGTCTGTAGTTAGGTAGTTACCTCGTTACCAGTAGTTATCCATAGTACTAAATCTTTATTCCCACAAGAGATAAGACTGTGCTGTGAGGAGTGGTTTTCAACATCCAGATTTATACAGATTCCTGGTTTTCTCTAGCTATCCATAGTAGACAAATTACCTAGGTACCAATAGTTATCTATAGTCTAACTCAGTACTGCAACAAGAATTAATATTTAGTTTTGAGAGAAATGGATTTCAGCTTCGTGGCTTCAAATTATTCTTCTAAGGAATATCTAGTTTCCCCTAATTAAATAAATAGATAGGTACCACTACTCACTGATAATACCCATTATTATCACAAGAAATAAAAGTTATATTTCAGAATAATGTTTTTCTTTTTCTTTTTTTCTTGTTTTGGCCATGCAGCATGTGGGATCTTAGTTCCCCCACCAGGGATCGAACCAGTGCTCCCCATGGTGGAAGTGCGAGTGCTAACGACTAGACCGCCAGGGGAAGTCCCAGAATAATGTTTTTCTTAACAGCCTCATCTAAAGTATTTATTCCGCTTGTTTCTAGTTACCTTCATTTAACTAATTACCTAGGTACCACTAGATAACCATACTCTTTGCTCATTTTTCCACAAGTAATTTGTATTTAAATTAGAAAAAAAGATGTGTTTTCCAGGTTCTGGACATCTATAAGTTTTTCTACTTATCTCTACCTGTTTCTAGTTATCTAGCACCCTAGGGACACTCAGTTATCTGTAGCGTTATCTGACTTTCCCAACAAGAAATAAGCAGGTAGAGCTGAGAAGAATATGTTTTTCAACTTCCTGGATTCAACTAACTATTCTACCTATCACAGTCATCTTTAGTTTACTTGTAGGAATCCTGGAAGTGAAATAGTGGAGCTAAAATAGAGTTCTTCACTGGATTTCCTGACTGGTAAGCCCAAGTTGGTCTCATTTGACTTCCCGTAGCCCATGACATGGACTGGGGTTCCCAAAACCTTGAGTGGACACCTCAGGAGTCAGTTGCTATGATAACATAAACCTCATGACGTACCCCTCATCCTAAGAATGCTGTAAGACATTACTTTTATTTGGGGATTCATTTGAGACTTTCCACTCCCTCCCATTAAGCCAAAGCAGTAGGGTGTCCCAGTGAGAGTGAATCCTTACCTTCGCCAGATCATCTTTCTTAGCAGGCATATTCTCATTTTCCTTTGTGGAACCCTTACACAAGATACCTTCATTCGGCAAAAGAGACCCTGCAGGAAAAGGCTGGCAGCCACAGAGAACCAGTCCCATTGGGCCATGTGGCTCTTCTAGGCAAAGTGCCTTTGTTTTCTGTACCTAGCTTAAAGGAAGAGACCACGGTGGTCTCCACACTGCAAGGGACTTTTGGGGTCATCCACTTCACACCCTTCATTTTACAGATTTGGGACATAGGCTCAGAGCAGTGGAGTGGCCAGCCCAAAAAAGCACACAGAGTTCATCCCAGAGAAGACCAGGCTTTTGGTGGCCATGCCTTCCACTGGGCCTTGTATCATCCAGCTACGGGCAGTGAACATCAGCCCAGGTTCAGCTCCTCAGCACTTAAACCTCCATCCTGCCCAAGAACTCTTTCCTTCAAAGGACTGAAGACTCAAAGCTCCCACCAAAGCCTGATCACTGAGCCATTTTACCTGTAGGAAAAGGCATCAACCTCCCCTGCAGAGGCATTCGGCCTCCTGATGTCCACAGTTTCAGGCCCTGAGAGTGATGAAATTTATACCCTCCTCACAAAAGGCTTAGTGTGCTTCCATTACAACAGCCCTCATTTCTCCCAATGTCCTTGCAATGCCAAGCCTGCCAAGTCTGCCAACTAGCGGCATGACCCATGATCAAGACCCAGCCCTAAGCTTGTGCTGAATCCGCTGTTTTAGGAAAGGAGGATAATGGAAACTGTCACTAGGCAATTAATACTCACTTTGAAGTTGATAATTTATGGTTTGCCTTGATCAATGTCACACTTGCTTCTTCTCAGATATCAGCATGAAGCTATGGGGCGGGGACCCTGGGTGCGATGGTGTAAATATAATTTTCAACTGCAGTGAGCTGTCTCCACCTACCCACGCCCCCCCACCATGCCAAGGGTAGGTCTTAAGGTAAATGTCTGAATTCCTAACATTTACATGCCAATATTTTAGACTGCAGACGTACAAAACACGTCTCCTACCCACAAGCTTGCTTTCAAAATCAAGGGACACAGGACACTGAAGTGGTGGCATTCAGGCACGGGTATGTAATTGATATGCCTAGACCCATTTGAAGCACGGCCCCCAGACAAAATGAGAGCTGCTATTGAGAATTGCAGGTTTGGAGCACCACCTCCTCCTATTCCAGGCCCAAGAATCTTGGTTTAGGAAAAAAAAATGGAGACAAGGTAGAGACCAAAGAAAAGTCTCTGTCCACCTCTCCCTTGAACAAGAGAGACAAAGGGTGAAACAAAGGATATTTTTTCATAGTAAGTGGAAAGGAGGCTCTAGGGGAAAAAGAAATCGATGTCAACAGCTGGGCCCAGAGCTATCGATCCAGTTTAGGGAGCTGGGTATTGAGGGGGGCTGGCAGCTCAGCACGTCCTCTGGATAGTAGTCGGGGGTGTACAAGGAGATGGCTCTGGCTGGCTGGGCTTTCTAAGAGAAAGGAAAAACAGGACTCAGGTTCATGTGCAGATGAGTTCCTTACATCCCCTTCCACAGCCCCCATCACGTGGTCAAGCAACAGAGCTCTTTTTTCTTTTTTTCTCTCTTGCCTACCTTCCTTTTAACACAACTGGTCACCTTAAGGGATTTCACCAGGACTGAAATATTCATAAGGAAGGAGGGAAAGTCAAAACGGGGGGGGGCTGGGGGGGCGCTCACTGTGACTGGCCCTAGCCCAGGTCCCCAACCCCAGCACCTCAAAAAACGTCCAGAATGGTCCTATTTCTTCATTTTAACAAGAAGAAATTCCTAAGAATGTCCAATTAGGGAAGTCCCTGGCGGTCCAATGGTTAGGACTCTGCACTTTGACTTCTGGGGCCTGGGTTCAATCCCTGATCGGGGAACTAAGATCTTGTAAGCCACCTGGCGTGGCCAAAAATTAAAAAAAAATAAAAAATAAAGAATATCCAATTAATTCTGTGGGCCCACCCACCACATCAAAACCTTAACTCCAACAGGGAGTCAGACAGAAATATTGCCAGGTGCTAAATTGGCTCTGTTACTTACTTAACATAGAAACTTAGACTTCAGGGGTCTCTGTGACCAAAC